TTGGTTTTCATGCAATTAATATTTCACTAAGATCAATAGGCATTTGAACCCTTTGCAATGAGCTATGCCACAAATGTAGAACCAATCAAGCTTTTACATTCTAAACTGTGAGTTACAGATTCTTATCTTTGAGCTTGCTTAATTTTGGTACTGAAACCCCCCAAATTTGCAATAAATAGTCTACAGAAGTTCATCAGCTGTACAAATCGACTGCAGTTGGGAGGAATATTTTGCAAAAAAAAAAATTACACTATTGCATTGATCTTAGGTCTTTGTTAAAAAAGTAACTACATCATTATAAGTTTCAATTAAATGAGTTTATTGGTAAATGATAAAATGACTATGAGTATCCCCCAATCAATTCTTCATGGACTTGAGTCACCTGATAAGGTGTCAATTTTAAATAAATCTTGATCCTTTAGTGCCCAATGGGTTAATATGTCCAAGTTGAAATTCTGAAATATTTAGCTAACATTACTTCTCTTTCAAATTTGAAAACCAGAAGTGTCAATACTGAAAAGTAATATACTTAGCAAAGTTAGCTTTTATGATATACTATAGTAATAGTTTAACTATATCTATACATAGCTGACTCTGAGTGACTTTTTCATTCCAACTAGATCAGCAAAGGTTTCTAGTACTGTAACATTTTCTGTAATAAAGTAGAAACTACTTAACTGTCTCAACTTTCACACATGTTGAAATACAATATCTTAGTGAAACTATTCTTAAATGTGAAGTGTGAAAGGTCACCTATTTAGTTACATGTAAGTCTTAAATCAGTATTATAATGCTGTTGTGACTGCTCTAACATTCTTGAAAATACTTCTATTAAAGCTAAAATGGTAGTTACATTATAGTAACAAAAAAAGTTCATTGGTTTTGTGTTTCAATTTAATATAGGTGTTTGGTATTTATTCAAGTCATTGTCATTTATCATTGAACGAATTTCTGCATTATCATCCATTGGATAAGTATGTATTTTGTATCTCTCCATTCTAAGTAATGTTCATTGTTTCCTTTTAAAAACTAATTTTACCAAGTGAAAGAAAAATATGCAAGTTTGATTTAAAAAAATTGTAAGTAAATGTGTAAATCTTTAATTCTAATTTGTAAACTGGCTCATTTGATTTGATTATATATATGAAGCCTTTCTTTTGTGTTTACAAAATTATTTGGCATGAAAACTTTGTCATCATGCTCCTTCTAAGGAGAGCTTCAATGGACAAAATAGTTCTTGCAATAGTAGTGGTGGTGGTGTTGGTAGTTTTCACTCCGGATCACGGCAATAAGCCACATTGAATTAACCAGAGCACAGTTCAACCACCGCATCGATCCTGGGCAGGCTGGCTGTCAAGCAGTTTACCAATACTAGTTGCCTTCACTTCTCAAGGAACTGAAACTTCTGTGAATACCAGAGCAGAGGTACAGTGCTTATGACCGTAGAAAAGATTTCATGATCAATCGCAACAAAAGTGACCTGCGCCATCCGGGAATCGAACCCGGGTTGCCCGATTCACTGTCCAACGCTCTATTTATTGAGCTAACCGGAAGGCTTCTGATTCTTGCAATATTGTTTGCTCTTAATATTTATTATAGAATGTATGAATTTTGATAGATGCATGCAGACATAAATGAATATATCTCAGCTTGAGAATAGATTTGTTCAAGCATTCTGCTTTCCAGCAGGTAAAAACTTGATAAATCATGGTCACAACAGACATATCCTGGACAGACTTGTCAGTAAGATCATATAGCCATATCTCCTCTACATACCTGTCAGTAAACACATATTATAATATATACAAGTAAAACACATGTGCCCAGCAGGTGCTAGGGGGCAAAAGTTAATTTATTATCCTCATATACTTCTTATAAATAAAACCTATAAAATAGTTTTTCAAGGAAAGGAGTATTAGAATTAGTAAGTTAAATACCTGTTTCAATTAAAGTATTTATTGTTAATTAAAACAGAAAAAATACTGTATGTCAATTAGCATAATACCTTATTTCTGTAACAGGAAATAAATAATATACAATTATACTTTCAGAGAATTCTATGTTACAGTGCTCGTAATGAGATCAGTTTTCACTGTTGATTGCTGATGGCCCTTGTTGTTTTTTAAAATAAGGTGAAAGGTCAAAGGACAAAAGTTTAATACACAGTCATTAGATGAAGTAGTACCTAATGATAGTAAATAGAAGTCTTTATTTTTCATTCCTCTAGCTGACCTCCTTAGAGCATGCTAGAACTACTACAGGGTATGTTTAATTTCTACAAACAGCTGGTATATACTTATGAAATGGTTTATAGGAATGATCTTGGATGGAATAATATATTTACTGAAACCATCATGATAATTAAAACTGATACACATTAATTTATAAGTATTTTCATTTCTTGCTTTTTTTTTCAATGAAGCAGAAAGTAGACAAGTTTCCTACTCAAAACATACCATGTTGACAGGGAAGCTTTCTCAGGGTGTTTATCTTTCATGGTAGGAACTGTCAAGAGGAAATGTTGCAGGGATTTTCTAATACAGGTTTCAGCCTTGGCATGTAGATTAGAATCAGTGAACAACTTTTCCAGAACTGAACATGTTTTAGCTCATCTTGAAGCACCTAGAAAATATTAAAGTCTTAGAAAGTGGAAAGCTCATTTCCAATTAATCCATTTCCTTTATTCATTACAACCCAAGAAAATCTTGACTCAAAGCATTGTTCATTGTGTGGTTATACTTGAGATTCTTTGTAATTTAGGTAATGGTATCATAAAGATCATCTCAGTGTAACCAGTCTTTCAGAAATATTACTTGAGTGACCAATACATTTGAGCCGCGTCATGACAAAACCAACATAATGGGTTTGCGACCAGCATGGATCCAGACCAGCCTGCGCTTCTGCGCAGTCTGATCAGGATCCATGCTGTTCGCTATCAGTTTCTCTACTTGTAAAAGAGTTGGTAAGCGAACAGCATGGATCCTGATCAGACTGCGCGGATGCGCAGGCTGGTCTGGATCCATGCTGGTCGCAAACCCATTATGTTGGTTTTGTCATGACGCGGCTCATTTGATCAATCATGGTTAGATATAGTTTATGCCTTTACTTTGACAATTTTATATACATGTGTATTGGTTAGATATGATTTCCAAAAATGATTTGTTTATCATTGAATATACTAACATATTGATTATAGTAAGTGGTTTATAATCTTTCTCTCTATTCCTTCTTAAATGTTCAATTGTTTGAATGAGTTGGTACAAAACTTGCTGTTAAGTTTAAAAGAATGTTGTTGCTGTTGTTGTTATTGTTGTTTACAATATAGTGGATTTGTAGATGTCAAAGAGTAGGAGTGATGTCTTGAAAAATAGGTCAAAGAAATTTAGATATAATAAATTAAGATGGTTATACATATATATGTATCTTGATGACAGATTTATAGCTTCTTTTCAATTGTATACATATATAGATGAGATAAAACAGCTGCATTTGCATAACTTACTATATAGTCTGTTGACAGTCATGTTTACTTTATAGGTAATATCACTCATGTTTTACCTTTTCTGTATACAGCTTATTAATTATTTTATCACTATTTAAGAGCTATATATAGATCTTTCTAGTTTTAGTATTTAATTAGTATAAGTACTTTTATTCTTGCTTCATAAATAGTCATGATATATGCAAATTAATCAATGTTCTTCACAAAGGTCAAGCTTGATACTTTAAACACATGCTTGTATTGAAGGAAAAAAAATAGTATACCCATTACCACATTAAACATCTTTCAATCTGGACATAGCCAATCATCATTTTAAGGAAAATTTCAAAAATATGTACTGACTGAATGGCAAACAATTGAGACCTTAATCAGACGTGCCAGCTGATCTCTGTCTGCAGCAGGTTGCAATTTGCATGGGTATGTTTAGTTGCCCCTAGGTGCCAGGAGGGCAAGAGATACAGACAAAAAACAAGTTGACACATTTCTTTCTCAAAAGGATTAATATAGCCATGATCAATGTAATAAAAATCTAGTAAAAGCCAGTTTACATATCAGGCACATGCATATGAATTTCAGCTAAGTGATATTATTTACACTATCTGTTTTGTCTTTCCTTTTGATATTTGAGACTGAGATCAGTTCTGGTTCACTCAGAGTTATTATAGCTTAATTTCAGCTAGTTTTATATGATCTTCAGTGATTTGTAGCTGATCATCTCTCTTGTCTGTGTGGTCCAACATTATCCAATTAGGTAGCTATCTTAACTGTGGACATAAAATGGACATAAAAACGTGCATAGTTAAAATGGTTTATGATTCTACAATTGACCTCTACTTAACTATATTATCTACGGCCAGCAGATGTCCGTACAAGCTAATGTCTTCTCTAACCAAATTGTTAACTACAGTATAATGAAGGCATAATGGAGTGTTTATCCTTGTTGTGTGATGGTGATAAATTATAGGTTAGATTGATTATAAATATTATTGTTTACACGTTCTCTTGTTAATGACCAGAAATTGAAAAAAGATGTGAATATATTCAGATATAAATACAATTAGTGTTTGAATAAGTGGACTTTTGCAGGATGTATTGGGAAAAGTTCTCTTTACTGAGGAGGTACTTATTATGTTTGTTCCTGGTTTACATTTTGGTCATAACAGTTTTTATTTTATTGTGGTTTGTGATATTTCAATTTTAATGTCCTTAAAAAAATTGAAAAGAAAAGCAATCAGTGAAAATGCTGATGAGATAAAGAGGAATACATAAAGGAAAAATATTCAGAAATATGTGTAGTGTAAAAAAAAACATATTAGTTTATTATTGTTATTTTTATAATGATGATAATGGCAATGATGATGATGCTTATTGTTGTTATTATTAATATTATAATGATTATGATGATGATAATGATGATGATGATCAGATGGACTATAAAATTTAAATATAGATGATCATATAAAATAAAGCATAATTATATATATTTGTATATTTTCAGCAACTGAAAGATGAGATAGCAGAAGTTACCAATGAAATGGAGCAGATGGACGATGGGTCTGAGGAAAGGTATACATCTATCTTCTTATATGTTTAAATTTGTGCAACTAAGCTCAGTTGGGAAAGTTCATTTTTGGGGACCTCAGATTTGTAAGCTATAAGTTCTACTGATGATTCTTTTAAAGACAATACATCTATGCCTCATCTGTTAGTGTTGTTAAGAAGTTAGTAGTTGCTTTAAGAAAACCATGAATTAGTGCTTTAGCTGAGTTAGAGTTAGCAAATACAAGGAAAGTAAATGCCTGAAATGCTGTGAAAAACTAGGATTAACTCCAAAGAAAAGAAAACCAGCTAATATTAATGTGTGCTTAATGATAAAGATAGCATGATACTTGATTACCTAGGTTGAATATGGAATATATTTCACTGCTAGAAATGCTCCAAGTCCATGAAGAACAAGGAAGATTTCTCTTGATTTCTGCTTATGTCCACTTTTCGAAGTGTAAAAGTGGAGCAATTGTCATGACCCTTTCTTTCAGTTTTGTGTTGTGGTCTATTTTCTCAGAAACTATAAAAATTATTCACTTGGTATGTAACTTGTCTGTTAATGTTTATTTCTCAAAAAATATGAAAAACTTGGGATACTTGTTCTAAAAAGAAATTGAAATGTATTTCTCCTGAAAGCCATTTAAACTTAAGTATTTCTTGCTAAAAAAACCCAGTTACATTAGGTATTCACTTCAGCAATGAGAATGATGGAGTGTGCTGTCTGTGGACAGGTCTTGATTTGAACTATAAATGAAATATTATTCAATAATATTCAATAAATTTTATATTTCACTGATAAATTATTGAATTAACTTTAATTAATATTTAGTGGGAATATACATACAGTAGTTGAATATCGATTATACAGCCAACATTATTGAGTGACAACAGTAACTGTTTCACATTCACTTCACTTTATATATTTTGTAAATAAACATGAAGTTCAGTTCATTTTTTCAGTCTTTTTCAAAACTTTTGTATGAAATTTAGTTTATATATTATATTGATATATATTCATGTATTCATGTATACCACCATATATTTTCAGTAAGAACAATCCGAAGACCAAGCAGATCAGTATTGGCAAGAAGAAGTTTAACATGGACCCGAAAAAGGTAAATTTCCTTTATAATAAAACAGAAATTTAAGCTGAAAATATATTAATCTGCTCATATTATATTTACACAAAATTGTAGCAATAAGTTAGTAAATTATTTTAATTGATGGCTTTGAAGTTTGGTGAAATTTCTTCATTCTATTCGCCATCTATTAGAAATTTATGATTTTAACTAATATACTTACTAGATGGTGAAAAAGGTATTTATAGTTATATTCCATTCTTTTCAATTTTTGCTTCAACACAATTATTATTACATGATTGTATGTGTTGGGTTTTGGATGTAATAAAGTTGTGTAAATTATACTAAGTATAGGTTAAAGTTTATTAGTATGTATTTACAAAATTAAATTGGTCAGGTGTGGCTGTGCCACGCGACAAATTTAATTTTGTAAATACATACTATTTTAATTATATTTATAAACAGTTGATTTACTAGAGTGGACTGATTCACAATTTGCTAATTTACCAAAGTACATGCTTTACAATTCATCTGAAATACTGCGATCATATAAGACAAAAAATAATTTCAAACTCTAAATGCATTTAATGCTCATCTAATTAAAGTGTATACTTTTTGTAGTTAATGGTATTGTTGCATACACAGGGGAGGTCTACCTCTGTATTTCAATCTGTATTTAGTGTATCTACCTCTAAATCATCATTATAGTCAGTTATGAAGTTCTGATCAAAGAATAATGTATAATGATAACAATCTATACCATCTGGAACTATCTGGGCCTCATGTTACCTGACTTTACCTTGAGGTTCACACTGTGGTATTATCTGGGAGATAATTACTAGGATCATGTCTGGTTAAGACATATTGATCAGATTTAGTTTGATTACATCTTTGGGATGTTATGGTTTACTAATTGCTATAGTTTTCAGGCAAGAATTTGCTCTCATCACCTGAAAGATGTATGTGTTTATCCCTTGTTTTGTGTGTTTTTCTACTCAAGGGATGGGTTTTAAATGTTTGAAATTGACTTAAGAATATATGTTTTTTTTAAAGTTTATGTGTCAGACAATTATGATAGCAGTTAACCAGTTTGTTTTCTCAGAATATAATTATGCATTGTGATTTTGTCTTTTTTTTTGTCAATAAATGGTTGAAATGTCTTTTTTGTGTCACATCTGTTTAATTCTTTCTGATAGCACTGGCTTCACAAAATTACTTTTTGACACAATCATAGTAGTGAATTTTTTGTAACATTGCTAAATTTTACAATGAAACTTCTTAATTAGTATCAACCCATGAAGCAAGTTAAACTTTTTTTGTCTTTCAAATTTGGATGTTGTTAACATAGGTGACCTTTTATTTGTGGGGATAATTGCTGAGAGTCTTGACCTAGAGCTTTACATCATTGGAATATATAATTGTAAAGAGTTCTTGCCCCTGAGTTGATTGCAACTGGAAATTTTAACAGATCTCTCTTTGTGTTTCACAAAAAATGCAATTGAAACACATTTCTTGTATAAGGTTTTTGTACTTCTTAAATGAGGAAACTGTCTTTATCATGCTTTTGTTGTTGTTGTTTTTTTTTGCGGGAATTTGAAATATGAGAATTTTCAGGTGATAATGTAACAAACAAGAATAAAGTAAAGGATTTAGCTGACATGGTGAGGTCAAAAGACTTCCTTGTTCACTTTTATATTTAATCTAGTCAGACTTAAACAAAATGCTAATTTGATCCATCAAGTAATTCAGTAAATCCATTTCCACTTGTTCCTGTCAGATGTTGTAGGCTGTTTTATAGAGAAAGATGAAGTTAACATCAATAATCTGCTCATATCTCAGCCCGGAATTGTGATTGAATTATTTCTGATAAACTTGTCAGCCCTCTCTTTTCTAGGTTCACTAACTTTTTTGGCGGAGAGTAAATTATTTTGAGCAAAAAGAACAAGATCTTTGTGTCCTCTTTGGCTAATACAATTTTAGGAGTCAGTTTTATTTTGGCACTTGATGGGTCTATATTTCATGGTGCTGGAGCGAAAAGGCATTTAAATGAATTGATTTGTTGTACATTTTGGTGGGGAAGTGGAAATTACTTGTAAATATCATGATGATTGTTAGGAGGAAGGTATTCTAGAGGGAATAACCTCAGAGGGTGGAACTAAGTGGTATATCAGGAAGTACAAATTGTTCTAAAATGTATGGTCTGACTTAATGGTTTAACATACTTGAAAAACATATATATATATACAGACGTGTCTCACTTTGATCTGTTAAAATGTAGATATTAGATTTAGAAAACAGACTGTTTGTTGAAAGGTATTTACTCTGAGTTTTTAAGTTCAGTTCCAGCTGTAACAACTTTAAGCAATTTCAGTGTGATTACGTAAATGCAAATCGTTGCCAATGTATGTGACAGTTTCATCTGCTTCTAATAGGTAATTAGTCCCCTACCGGTTTACCGGAGGGGACTTTAGGTTTACCCTCCGTCCGTCTGTCCGTCCGTCCGTCTGTCCGTCCGTCTGTCCGTCCGTCCGTCCACAAAACTGGATCCCGCGATAACTTGAAAAGTACTGAAAATATTTTTATGAAACTTGGTATATGGATAGATGGCAGTATGGAGATTATGCACGTCTTTTTCTTTTCTTCCTATGTTGAAAATTCTGGTTGCTATGGCAACAAATAGGCTGAAAATATGGCAAATTTTACACATAAACTGGATCCCGCGATAACTTGAAAAGTACTGAAAATATTTTTATGAAACTTGGTATATGGATAGATGGCAGTATGGAGATTATGCACGTCTTTTTCTTTTCTTCCTATGTTGAAAATTCTGGTTGCTATGGCAACAAATAGGCTGAAAATATGGCAAATTTTACACATAAACTGGATCCAGTGATAACGCAAAAAGTACTGGAAATATTTTTATGAAACTTGACATATTGGTAGATGGCAGTCTTGAGATTATGCATGTCTTTTTCTTTTCTTCCTATGTTGAAAATTCTGGTTGCTATGGCAACACATAGACTGAAAATATGGCAAATTTTACACATAAACTGAATCCAGTTATAACTCAAAAAGTACTGGAAATATTTTTATGAAACTTGACATATGGGTAGATAGCAGTCTTGAGATTATGCATGTCTTATCCGTTCTTCCTATTTGATAAAATATCAGTTGCCTTGGCAACAAATAGGCTTAAAACATGGCAAATAAAACAATATTTGTGATTAGTCAAAAAGAGCTGAAAATTTTTATGAAATTGCATCTTTAATTCAAGAGTTATCTCCTCTTTAAGAATTTTGCTTTTAAATGTTATATTTTGGTAACAGGGATGTTTCAAATATTAACTTTAGAGTGTCCTTCAGTCCGTCTGTCTGTTCATAAAAACTGTTTCCTGTGATCACTTTTAAAGAACTTTTCCAACAAATTTACTTAAAATAGAGAAAAATTGAAACATTAGTGAATGGCCAATGGCCCTTCAGAATGTTGATGGGGTTCTAACCGGTAGGGGACTTATGGATTGCTTGCAATACTATGATAATTGCTTGTTAAACATAAGTCTTGGTTTGATGTCATGAAATATTAATCATTATTTCATTGACGTAAACATTTTATTGCCACACAATTACACATACTTTTTGTGGCAGTATTATTTCTACTTAATAAGAAATATAAATACTAATATTACGAACTGACATACACCATCCCATCCATTATGAGTGTCCTAGAAAGCTGTCCAGGAATTTTGGCATGCATGTTTTCAACAAGTGCCAAGTAGATAATTTCTCATTGGTCAGTGTCACTAGACAATATAATTTACTAAGGCTGGCTCACATTATAGAGTTGGCAATTTTTAGTATGTCAAAGATTATCTAATTTAGTTTGATTAAGTCAACAAATAAATCATCTGCTGGTTTGAGATAGATGAATTGTTGTAGAGAATAAAAAAAGAGAAGATAATTGTAATCAATATAACAAACTAAAGCAGCAAGCCTTTGTTGATACAAGTTCAAGATAATGACAAGGTTATATATGATTACCGTGGAAACTGTAAATGTTTACCTAACCATAGGCAGTGCTGGCCATGTTTGCTACCAAATTGATTCAGGGAAATTTAATAACATTCTGAACAATTATGTCATTGTTGAAAATATTGTTTCAAAGTAATACGATCCTTTTCTTCGTCCATAAAAAGACATTTTGCCTAATCTTCTCTGTTTGAATTCTTCAGTATAAGGAGGTACTTAAATATTGAATGTAGAATTATTTATAGCTGGCTAAAGTGTTTGAAGATGGTATAAACATATATTAATAATAACATGCAGAATTTACTTTTTACATTCTTCCTAGTTTATAGTCCACTATGATTACTGTCACAAGGCCATCTTTTATAATGTTCTGAATTTTTTATGGCCTAAAGCTAATGGGTTGCTGTTAGAAGTAATGTAAATGGTGGTCAATCTGACTGTTGTTGTTTCAGTTTCATAATAAATTATATGAAAGTATGATTACAATAGAAATGTTTTCCTGTCTTTCAGTTGAAACATATTGATTGAGGAAATATAAGTTAATATCTATGTCTGCAACTTTTAACACAGTACTGAAAGATTAAAGGGGCATAATGATAGAAGAATTTGACTTGTGTGATCTTTTAAGTTTCCAGACAATTTCTGTTTAAAACCAAAAAAAAAACAGTATTGGATGCTAGGAGCATACTTTTCAGAAAAGCCTGTTTTACTTTGGTCTGAAAATGGGACAATTAAATTTCTGATTTATTAATAAATAGTACATGTACATATTCACATTTATCAAATTTATCAATTAAGATACTTTTGATACTGATTATAATTATGCTTTTTGTGATAACCTTTTGAGACTTATTTAACCAAATCTTCAGTTATCCTATAAATACAATTTGTTTGGGTTTTCATTGAAAAAAGACAAGTTTTTGAGATTTTATTTTTCAGTTAACTATTAAATGCTATTTAATATCCAATTAAGATGCCCTTAACATCTGTTCACAATTCTCAATAGGAGTT